AAGAAGGAGAGAGAAGGAGAAGGATGAGAAGAAGGAAGAAGGAGAAGGAGAGAAGAAGGAAAGGATGAGAAGAGAGGATGAGGAGGAGAAGGAGAAGGATGAGAAGAGAAGGAGAAGGATGAGAAGAAAGGAAGTTTCTGTGACAGTTTCTGTCTATTTCTGACAGTTCTGGGACATTCACTCCATACAGCTGTTTCAACCGCTGTATGGAGGGAATGTCATGGAACTGTCAGAAATAGACTATTAATGACAGTTCTGGGACTGTCCTTCCATGCAGCGGTTGAAACATTGTATGTATTTGTTTCCATAAATGGATCCATTTATGGAAACAAAAAAACCGCTGTATGGAAGGACAGTCCCAGAACTGTCATTAATAGTCTATTTCTGACAGTTCTATGACATTCCCTCCATACAGCGGTTGAAACAGCTGTATGGAGTGAATGTCCCAGAACTGTCAGAAATAGACTATTTCTGACAGTTCTGGGACTGTCCTTCCATACAGCGGTTGAAACATTGTATGTATTTGTTTCCATAAATGGATCCATTTATGGAAACAAATACATACAATGTTTCAACAACCGCTGTATGGAAGGACAGTCCCAGAACTGTCATTAAAGAAAAAGAGTCTATTTCTGACAGTTCCATGACAGAATGTCATGAGAATTCTCCATACAGCGGTTGAAACAGCTGTATGGAGTGATTGTCCCAGAACTGTCAGAAATAGTCTATTTCTGACAGTTCTGGGACATTCACTCCATACAGCTGTTTCAACCGCTGTATGGAGGGAATGTCATGGAACTGTCAGAAATAGACTATTAATGACAGTTCTGGGACTGACTGCCCTTCCATACAGCGGTTGAAACATTGTATGTATTTGTTTCCATAAATGGATCCATTTATGGAAACAAATACATACAATGTTTCAACCGCTGTATGGAAGGACAGTCCCAGAACTGTCATTAATAGTCTATTTCTGACAGTTCTATGACACATTCCCTCCATACAGCGGTTGAAACAGCTGTATGGAGTGAATGTCCCAGAACTGTCAGAAATAGACTATTTATGACAGTTCTGGGACTGTCCTTCCATACAGCGGTTGAAACATTGTATCTATTTTTTTCCATAAATGACATTCTGCAAATACACTTAGAGGAGCGCTGCAGATACACTTTTTGCCGGCTTGGAATTAATCTTATTTTCATCCTACTTCTTCTTCTTCATCCTCATCCTCATAAGAAGAAAAAGAAGAAGTAGGATGAAAATAAGAATAATTCCAAGCCGCCGCAAAAAGTGTATCTGCAGCGCTCCTCTAAGTGTATTGCAGAATGTCATTTATGGAAAAAAATAGATACAATGTTTCAACCGTATGTATGGAGTGAATGTCCCAGAACTGTCATAAATAGTCTATTTCTATTTCTGACAGTTCTGGGACATTCACTCCATACAGCTGTTTCAACCGCTGTATGGATGGAATGTCAAAACTGTCATGAACTGTCAGGGACTGTCCTTCCATACAGCGGTTGAAACATGTATTAATAGTCTATTTCTGACAGTTCCATGACATTCCCTCAATGTTACAGCGTTGAAACAGTCCCAGAACTGTATTATTTCATGACATGTTCTATGACATCCCCATAAGCGGTGAAAAATAGAATGTAGATTATGAAATAGACTATTTATGACAGTTCTGGGACTTCCTTCATACAGCGGTTGAAACATTGTATGTATCAATATTTTTTTTGACATAAATGACATTCTGCAGATACACTTAGAGGAGCGCTGCAGATACACTTTTTGCCGGCTTGGAATTATTCTTATTTTCATCCTACTTCTTCTTTTTCTTCTTATGAGGATGAGATGAGGATGAAGAAAAAGAAGAAGTGGGATGAAAATAAGAATTAATTCCAAGCCGGCAAAAAGTGTATCTGCAGCGCTCCTCTAAGTGTATTTGCAGAATGTCATTTATGGAAAAAAAATAGATACAATGTTTTCAACCTGTATGTATGGAGTGAATGTCCCAGAACTGTGTCATAAATAGTCTATTTCTGACAGTTCTGGGACATTCACTCCATACAGCTGTTTTTCACCGCTGTATGGAGGGAATGTCATAGAACTGTCAGAAATAGACTATTAATGACAGTTCTGGGACTGTCCTTCCATACAGCGGTTGAAACATTGTATCTATTTGTTTCCATAAATGGATCCATTTATGGAAACAAATAGATACAATGTTTCAACCGCTGTATGGAAGGACAGTCCCAGAACTGTCATTAATAGTCTATTTCTGACAGTTCTATGACATTCCCTCCATACAGCGGTTGAAACAGCTGTATGGAGTGAATGTCCCAGAACTGTCAGAAATAGACTATTTCTGACAGTTCTTCTGGGACTGTCCTTCCATACAGCGGTTGAAACATTGTATGTATTTGTTTCCATAAATGGATCCATTTATGGAAACAAAAGGAGCGCTACATACAATGTTTCAACCGCTGTATGGAAGGACAGTCCCAGAACTGTCATTAATAGTCTATTTCTGACAGTTCCATGACATTCCCTCCATACAGCGGTTGAAACAGCAAACCGCTGTATGGAGTGATTGTCCCAGAACTGTCAGAAATAGTCTATTTCTGACAGTTCTGGGACATTCACTCCATACAGCTGTTTCAACCGCTGTATGGAGGGAATGTCATGGAACTGTCAGAAATAGACTATTAATGACAGTTCTGGGACTGTCCTTCCATACAGCGGTTGAAACATTGTATGTATTTGTTTTTTCATAAATGGATCCATTTATGGAAACAAATACATACAATGTTTCAACCGCTGTATGGAAGGACAGGACAGTCCCAGAACTGTCATTAGTCTATTTCTGACAGTTCTATGACATTCCCTCCATACAGCGGTTGAAACAGCTGTATGGAGTGAATGTCCCAGAACTGTCAGAAATAGACTATTTATGACAGTTCTGGGACTGTCCTTCCATACAGCGGTTGAAACATTGTATCTATTTTTTTTTTTCCATAAATGACATTCTGCAAATACACTTAGAGGAGCGCTGCAGATACACTTTTTGCCGGCTTGGAATTAATCTTATTTTTCATCCTACTTCTTCTTCTTCATCCTCATCCTCATAAGAAGAAAAAGAAGAAGAAGATGAAAAAAAAGAATAATTCCAAGCCGGCAAAAAGTGTATCTGCAGCGCTCCTCTAAGTGTATCTGCTGCAGAATGTCATTTATGGAAAAAAATAGATACAATGTTTCAACCGCTGTATGGAGTGAATGTCCCAGAACTGTCATAAATAGTCTATTTCTGACAGTTCTGGGACATTCACTCCATACAGCTGTTTCAACCGCAACCGCTGTATGGAGGGAATGTCATAGAACTGTCAGAAATAGACTATTAATGACAGTTCTGGGACTGTCCTTCCATACAGCGGTTGAAACATTGTATCTATTTGTTTCCATAAATGGATCCATTTATGGAAACAAATAGATACAATGTTTCAACCGCTGTATGGAAGGACAGTCCCAGAACTGTCATTAATAGTCTATTTCTGACAGTTCTATGACATTCCCTCCATACAGCGGTTGAAACAGCTGTATGGAGTGAATGTCCCAGAACTGTCAGAAATAGACTATTTTTATGACAGTTCTGGGACATTCCCTCCATACAGCGGTTTCCGGCAAAAAGTGTATGTGCAGAGTTCCTCTATTCTGCAGATACACTTAGAGGAGCTCTGCAGATACACTTAGAGGAGCTCTGCACATACACTTTTTGCCGGCTTGGAATTATTCTTATTTTCATCCTACTTCTTCTTCTTCTTCTTCTTCTTCTTCTTCTTCCTCATCCTCATCCTCTTCTCTTCTTCTTCTTCTGAGGATGAGGAAGAAGAAGAAGAAGAAGAAGAAGAAGTAGGATGAAAATAAGATTAATTCCAAGCCGGCAAAAAGTGTATGTGCAGAGCTCCTCTAAGTGTATCTGCAGAGCTCCTCTAAGTGTATCTGCAGAATAGAGGAACTCTGCACATACACTTTTTGCCGGCTTGCAATTATTCTTATTTTCATCCTACTTCTTCTTCTTCTTCTTCTTCTTCTTCTTCTTCTTCTTCTTCTGAGGATGAGGATAAAGAAGAAGAAGAAGAAGAAGAAGAAGTAGGATGAAAATAAGATTAATTCCAAACAGGCAAAAAGTGTATGTGCAGAGCTCCTCGAAGAAGAAGAAGAAGTAGGATGAAAAGAAGAATAATTCCAAGCCGGCAAAAAGTGTATGTGCAGAGTTCCTCTATTTCTGACAGTTCTCTCACAGCTTCTTCACATGTACAGCGGTTGAAACATCTGTATCCTAAATGGAAACTAATAGATACAAATTGTATCTATTAGTTTCCATTTAGGATACAGATGTTTCAACCGCTGTACATGTGAAGAAGCTGTGAGAGAACTGTCATAAACTAATAGATACAATGTTTCAACCGCTAAACATGTGTTCCTTCTGTCAGAGAACTGTCAGAAATAGCGGAGCTCACTGCAGGGACACTTTTGCCGGCTGATCGGGAAATGTTCGATTCGCGCACACCGAAGTAGGCAAAATTTCGGTTTCGCCGCGAATCGAATATTTCCTGAAATTCGACTCGAATTCCGGTTCGCAATTTTATGACTTGACATGTTTTGGTATCTATTTACTTGACACAACTCCAACTTTTATATTCTTTCAGAAATGATTTTGAGAAAAAAAACTATTTGTGACTTTTGCTATTAAACATGTCAAGTAAAAAAATTTAAAAAATCTAATTTCCTCATAAAATTTAGGCCAAAATGTATTCTGCTACGTCTTTGCAAAAAAAAAATCCCTAATACGTGTAAATTAATTGGTTTACGTGAAAGTTATAGCGTTTACAAATGGCGATGTATATATTATATATATATATATATATATATATATATACTGGAATTTTTTTATTTTTACTAGTAATGGCGGAGATCAGCAACTTATAGCAGGACTGCGGGGCTTCAGTGGGCATTCTGACATTGGGGGAACCGAGTTGGTGTCACTGACAACCCCAGTGACATCAATACATGTGATCAGTGCTAATAAAAAGCACTGACCCTGTACTAATGGCACTGGGCAGGAAGGGATTTTAACATGTGAGGCAATCAAAGGGTTAAATGTGTGCTGTTTTACTGGGGGCTGTGTTAGTGCTTTCCACTGTTAGAACACTGCTTTGCATGTCTCTGCTATGCATAGTCATGCAAAGAAGTGTGTAGGAGCTGACAGGGGAGAGAACTGAATTGTTTACATACAGTTCTCTACCTCTGTTGGTAATGCTCCTCGATCACCCATGTGTCGGCGAGTAATCACCGGCTGGGACCCAATGATTGCCAGCCAAGGCTGTGAATAGCGGCGCTGGTAGGATGCACGCTCGGCTTGCTCTTGCCCCCTACCGGGAAATGCGAAATCACATACAAATATGAGATTTTTCACACCCCTGCCACCCCTGTAGCAGTATATTTTATATAGGGTGGCAGGAAAGCTGTTAATCAAAAAACCCATGAATGACAAAGGAGGCCCAAATACAACAACAGTACCTATGATAGGCTCTGCATAATAAAGCTAGCGTCAACCTGAGGAGAGTCAGATACTAATGCATAGGAGGATGGATGACCACCTATAGACAAGGCCCCCAACAGGTGTGAAATCTCAGTGTGTCCATGGCAGAGGAACTGAATTGTTTTACTTTTTGCTTGTTCTCAATTGTATTTGAAGTTTGAGTAGCATTTGTCAATTAAGCAATCGGAGTTCATAAAAGACACATGCTAGCACATCAAACTCTTGACACCAACATCACACTACAAGAAAGCAAGAGAAGGACAGAGTTGTAAAAACTAAGATCAGTGTCACAGTTTATAGGAACAGGTTCAGAGGCCAGTGGCTGGAGCAGTAAGAAAGGTTCACAAGTAGTCAGCAGGAAATATACTAGGAGACCCTCCTAGCGCATGACACAGGTTCGCCCGAGGTGTGGGGTTTAGGGTCCTTTCACACGGGCGATCTGACCAGGTCCCCATGTCAAATTTTCACACAGGACCTGATTGGAAGGTCATGCATCCCTATGGACCGGAGGGTGTAAATGGGACTTCTGTCCATTTATACACACCTATTTCTGGATTTGATCAGGTCTGTTTAATAAAAATAGAGGAGGGTTGCATGCTTTTCGATTTGGACTGACTGGATCGAAGGCAGTTGGGTGTAAATAGCGGAGTCTGCTTATTCCTGGCCACCCATAGAGCAGAGTGGGGTCTATCCCATGTTCGTTCTGTATAAATTGAATGAACACGGACATGATCCGCTCTGCTCTGCTCCGATAAGCAGGGAAATAGCTCATAGATCCCCTGTTGATTGGAACAGAAGGTGCCCATGTCAGAGGGCCCTTAAGGGTTAGTATGAGGGGTTAGCATTTGTAGTAGACTCAGAGTAGAAATAGTATTAGTGTTAGTATTTGGGTTAACGTTAGGGTTCCTCTGTTCCTCAATATCATATATTGTGTTCCACGCTAACAAGGTTTTTTTTGGTACAAGAACTGATCGTCTTTAACCCTCCTCCCTATTTATAAGTGAATAGTGCTAAAAAAACATTAAAATTAATCTTTATTTCATCTACCTTTTTGACTCCAACACATTTTACCAAAAGTTTAAGTAAGCCAAAAGTCCCAGTTTTGCTGATTTCTCTTTATATGTGTCAGACTTCCCATTCTCCACCCACATACAGAACAGCTTTCTGAAGACAATTGTGAAGAGCAGTATCTGCCAGTATCAATGTCCGTTTAGAGACTGCCATTGGGCTGAAGACCATCTCTTACCTCAATGTCACAGTGATTGTCATCCTTGTCAATGTTTGTTAACTTGGCATCACAGGGCATCACATGAGTGTGAACTTGTGAAACTATTTAAACTTTATTAGAATTTCTTTCCCATCAACAGACAACTCCTTGTAAGTAAACCAGTGAGAACACCCAACATTGTGCTCCAGTAAATAAACTTTTATGTTTTATCAATCATGATTACAAGAGAGCTGAACAAACAAACTCTGAACTGTGTACATACAGTGACCAGTAATGGGTCATCACATACTTTTGGCCATGGAGCATGCCACTTGTTTTTCTTCATTTTTTACATGTCATAAATTACATTCAGAGAGTCACTGGCCTGCCTGGGGGTGAGATCAGAGGTCACTGGTCACATTATCTCTACCTTACCAGGGAAGAGATATTAGTATATGAAATTAAAGCATATACCTGGTCATTATGTAAAATCATATACTGTATAGTGCTTACCTCCAAAGGAGCCACTGTTTTCTTGGGTCCCCTGTTCCCAGATCCCATGACTATGAAAGCAGCACCATGCACTCTGGCACAGTGGGGCTGAAGAGGGACTATTCATTGTAACTATATATATATAATTAGTTCTATATATATATATATATATATAGTAATATATTGCCAAAGTATTGAGACGCTTGCCTTTACACGCACATTAACTTCACCCCAATCTCCCTTTCATGGCATCCCAGTAGGTCCACCCTTTACAGCTATAACAGCTTCAACACTTCTGGGAAGTCTGTCAACAAGGTGTAGGAGGGTGTCTATGGGAATGTTTGACCATTCCTCAGAAATGCATTTGTGAGGTTCAGGCACTGATGTTGGATGAGAAGGCCAGGCTCCCAGTCTACACTCTAATTCCATCCCAAAGGTTGTTCTATGGGGTTGAGGTCAGGCTCTGTGCAGGCCAGTCAAGTCATTCCTCCACCACCAAACTAGCGCATCATCCCATGTCTTTATGTGACCTTGCTTTGTGCACTGTTCTACTGTGCAGGTCATGTTGGAACAGGAAGGGGCCCATTCCCAAACTCTTCCCACAAAGTTGGGGAGCATGAAATTGTCCAAAAATGTCTTGGTATACTGACACCTTAAGAGTTTCCCTTCACTGGAACTAAGGGGCCAAGCCCAACCCCTGAAAAACAACCCCACACATAGATCCCCCCTCCACCAAACTTTACACTTGGCACAATGCAGTCAGGAAAGTACCGTTTTCCTTGCAACCGCCAAACCCAGACACATCCATCGGATTGCCAGACAGAGAAGCATGATTGGTCACTCCAGAGAACATGTCTCCGCTGCTCTAGAGTCCAGTGGCGGCGTGCTTTACAAACACGGCATCCCACGCTTTGCATTGCACATGATGATGTAAGGCTTGGATGCAGCTGCTTCCCCATGGAAACCCATTCCAAGAAGCTCTCTATGCATTGTTGTTGTGCTAATCTGAAGGCCACACAAAGTTTGGAGGTCTTTAGCTATTGACTTTACAGACAGTTGGCAACTTCTACACATTGTGCACTTCAGCATGCAATGCACTGACCCCGCTCTGTCATGTTACGTGGCCTACCACTTGGTGGCTGAGTTGCTGTTGTTCCCAGTTGCTTACACTTTGTTATAATACCTTTAACAGTTGACTGTGGAATATTTAGTAACCAGGAAATGTCACGGATGGACTTATTGCACAGGTGGCAACCTATCACAGGACCACGCTTGAATTCACTGAGCTCCTGAGAGCGACCCCATTCTTTCACAAATGTTTGTAGAAGCAGTCTGCATGCCTAGGTGATGATTTTATACACCTGTGGCCATGGAGGTGATTGGAACACCTGAGTCCAATGATTTGTAGGGCTGGCCCAATACTTTTTTGCAATATAGTGTGCATATACATTTATATATATTGTGACAGTAGGCAGGTGAAATCACCTGGTTGCGTCCTGGATGGACGATATATTTGTCCAAGGTTCAGGCTTTAAAATTGGGGATTTGTACCACTAGAGGGAAGTGCTGAGTCCTTCAGCACTGAGGTAATGAGCCCAGCTGAAGGTAGTGGGCTCATTAAACACCTCTATAAAACCTCCCAGAGTGCTTAGGGAGTTGCTCCACCCTGGAACCAGATCTGTGCCTGAACTGTCTGGGGAGCTGACCTGTTACCTGTGTGCAGAGAGACCAAAGCCTGTGTGGCTAGCCTCCAAGTACTAGCAACTAGGTATAGCAGCAGGCTGTACCTAGTGGGTAGCAAGGGAGAAGCTGTTGTTGCAGTAAGTAGCCAAGTTGGCCAGGATTTATTTTGATGTTTTCTTTTTGTTTATCCTTTTTTCTGTAAATACTGTAAATAAATTGCACCTGTTTGTTTTCACCTCCACTATTGTTGTGCTGTGCCTATTTTTTTTTGTGTTGTGCACCCATCCAGGGGGTCACACACACCCGCTGCCGAGCTAACCCTGTTACATATGGTGGAGGATGCGGGCAGTTGTGGTAACTAAAGGCCAGCATGGAGGAGATAATCAGACAGTTGGCTCTGCAAATGCCAATCAACAACAGGCAAATGCAAGTTTCCAGCAGAGCATTGCAGCCCAGCAGAGGGCCTTGGAACAAGCAGAGGTCCGCCATAGGGAATTGCTGGTGCAACAGGACCAGAAACACCAGCAACAAATGGAGGCTGTTTTGAAGCAGCTCCAGCAGAGGCAGCAGACTGAGGCTGATTCTGGTAAAACACCATCATTTTCTGTGGGCCGTTTATTGCCAAAAATGACGGGAGAGGATGATCCGGAGGTGTTTCTAACCACCTTTGAAAGGACTGCTGAAAGGGAAAAGTGGCCTAAAGAACAGTGGGCTGGACTGATGGCCCCATTATTAACTGGAGAGTCGCAAAAAGCTTACTATGACCTAGAGCCGGACCAAGCCAAAAACTATGATGTGCTAAAAGTGGAAATTTTGGCCCGGTTGGGTGTTACCCTCGCTGTCCGTGCTCAGCGGGTACATAATTGGACTTTTCGGCTTGGGAAACCTCCCAGGTCACAGATGTATGATCTCATTCACCTGAGCAGGAAGTGGCTGCAGCCAGAGACTTTGACCGCCCCAAAAATTGTGGAACGTGTCGTCATGGATCGGTTCCTAAGGTCTCTGCCTACTACTATTCAAAAGTGGGTCAGCCATGGAGACCCAGAAACTGCAGACAAGCTGGTGGATCTAGTGGAGAGATACTTGGCTACTGAGAACCTGACCTCCTCTTCCAGAGACTCACGGACTTTCCACCCTAAGACCAGACCATCCCCAGCGGCGGGTAAGATGACTACAAGGGGTGAGGGTGGAGAGAGTGAGAGGGTGGGAGTGTTACCCAATGTCTGGCAAGAGCGGCCAGGAAGGCCAAGGCTGCAAGAAGCGGTGA